AGTATCACCCTTGTCTCAAAATGAAAAATCAAATCATTTGTTGGTAACTTTCTTGGCTCCTAGGTAAGTCATTGGTTTTCTTTTCTTGTTTTTCTTCCAATATAAAAAAAAAAAAAAAAAAAAAAAAACGTAAAAACTGCGAAACAAATCAATCAGCCGGTTAATTGTTTGACTGTTAACTGGTCAATTTGATTCGGTTTCGGTTTGGTACTTTTCAAAAAACAGAGCTTCCAGTTCAGTTTCAACTATATGCTCGGTTAACTGAACTGTGAGCACCCCTAGATATAAATGGATCCATGGGCACCTGGTCACTGTCACAAAATCAGCAAGGCTAGATGGCATCCTGAGTGAATTTCTCATTCTGATCTGTGTCATTTATTAGCCAATCCATTGGCAGCTTGCCAAAGGGATTATCTTTTATCTTGGGCTAACTAATGGTACTTTGGGTTAAGATAGCCTTTTGAGTTGATAGTCAGTCCCCTTATGAAATGAGGTTTATCTTAGTCTAATTTCCCTAGTTATTTTTAGCTTTTATATTTTTTGGAGGATTGGGTTTTTTTTTTTTTTTGGGGGGGGGGAGGCTTTGATGATTGTACTTAGGGGTGTCAATGGACCGGTTTTGGGTTGGATTCCGTCCAAATCAAAATCTATTTGGACGGATTGAATGGACCAATAAGACATATTGAAATTGGACAGACCAATATGACATATTGGATTGGACCCGGTCTGTCCATAATGAATTTATATTGGATTGAGCCAATATCTAGCCCATTGATAGAAGATAAGAACATAGGTGTCAATGGACCAGGTTTGAATTGAAACCAATCTAAATTAACAGGAATTTGAACAGATTGGACAGTCCCTGGACCGGTCCAAAATAGTCCAAAATATTCATTGAACTGGATTGGACCAGGTCCATTTGTAATGGACTCACATTGGACTGGACCGGATTGGACCAAATCCAGTCCAATTGACACCCCATGTACTCCATTCTGCTCACTATAAAAAAAATTAAAAATTAAAAAAATTAAAAAAAAACATAAGCACACACCATGCTCCTCTTTCCTTTGCTTTTTGAAAGTTCTAAGGTGTAAAACAGCCCAAAACACAAATTCTAAGTGCAAAAAACCAATTTAACCCAGTTAAACTGTGGAACAGGTTTCACACCATATAGACAAAACGATTTGCCAATCCCAGATCGAATTGGGGAGTAGACCATGAAGTTTCAGACCCAAAAACAAGGAGAGAAGATTACCCGATGCAAAATCCAACCACATGTGCAGTTGGTCACTATGGTGTTCATGCCTCAAACTGCAACCTGCTCTCAATCCCAACAAGCAGCTGTAAGTGGCATAGCTTGTCTCAACCAATGGATATTCTATGACAACCCAGACCAGCTTCTCAACTATTGAGGAGCAAACCAAACTCCAATGATGACTGATTAAATTAGTTAAGGAATGAAAATAGATTGATTCTAACACCTCAAATCATTTGAATGGAAAAGCTATACTTTTGGGAATTGCACAAAGGAGATTACTCTCACTAATGGCTGAACTGCAATGGGTGAAATAGGAGTAACTAGGGATCTGAGACAAGGATGGGAATCTGAGAGCACTCTACTCAGGACCGATGGGGAATGGAGACTCTTTAAGGGCTGAACTGTATGCAGTCCTACAAGGTGTACAGATTGCAAGAGACATACGGGTGGAGTGTTTGGTGATAGAAGGGGACTCCAAGGTGGTGGTGGGTTAGCTTAGAGATACAGATTCAGTGATCTGGTGCTATAGAAATGAATTGAAGAAGTTCAAATGGGCAACACAACATATGAATTTAATCATACAATGGGTGGGAAGGGAAGCTAATTCATTTGCTGATTGTTTAGCCAAACAAGGAGTAACTAGGGATCAGTTGTATTGGGCCCATTTGTAATCTTTGTGCTGTTTCTTTTCTTTTAAGGGGTGAGGCTGCACCTCATGCCTCCCGTTGGGATGTAAGAGTCTCTATCTTTTGTTGATAATGAATTTATTTATCAAAAAAAAAAAAAAACTGCAATGGTTGAAAAAGAATATCAGATCATCTGGTTAAGGTCTTAAATAGATTCCCAAAGCTTCACAAGCTTGCTTATTCGATACCCAAAGCAATTAGGAAAGTCTAATAGCAGCTTCCCAAATCGACAGGAAATCTCTCTACACACTAGAGAGTTTCTATTGTGCTAGGACTTTCCCAGTTTAGCTCTTCCTGAATTAGAACTTCCTACTTCCCAGTTTACATGTGGTAGGTTTCCTTCTCATAAGTGTGTCAGCCTTGTCAGAACAAGCTACCCAAATTCACTAGTTGAGAACATTTAGTCTGCATACCAATTATGGTTGTCTTTAACCATTATTATGATTTTTTTTTTATCAATCCATTATTATGATTATCATAATTCTATAATGTAGATCAAGGGATAATTCACAGAAACATACCTAATAACACATGTAACCATACAAGAAACTGAGCCTTTATTCATAATAAAAGCAGTTTACATCAACTATTGTCTCCTGAGGGCATACACTGCCTAATACTTTTACAAATCATTTTTCAGTTACTGATCAAAAAAAAAAAAAAAGGATATAAGTTGAGTCTATGCTCAAGCATATCAAACCTTATAGCACTTTCAGCTATACCCAAGTCCCAAAGGCTTTCACACTTGAAGAAAAAATAAAGAGAAAAGGACATTTACCAAATCAAACAACACAATGTAATGAGAAATCCATCCTCTAATATCCAATCTTCAACAAGTTCTCTTCTACTTCATTCTGAGAAGAAAAGAAAAAAAAGCTACCAAGCACTTTCAGAGGAAGAACTCTCTTTCTTAAACGTATTCATCAAGTACATTCACCACTAATATGTTTCTTAAGAAGACTACCTTCTCCCCTTACTTAACTCACCCTTCTAATGCTTCAACTCTTTGCATCTTGATGTAAGACTAATAATTCTAATATGGAGACTGTGGGAAGACTAAGGGCCTTTTCTCCCCTTCCTTCTTCAGGTGGCGGATAAAAAGGGGAAGGATAATGTGGAGAGGACTAAGGGCTGCAGTATGTTGGACACTGTGGGAAGAAAGTGAAAAATGGTAGGATCCATCGTATGGACGCCAAAAAGGTTGCGGAATGGGTGGGCGAATTTCAAAAAAAAAATTTCCTACCTTCTTCCAACTAGGAATCATATTCCCTAAATTTAGAATACAATATTCAAGGATCCTATTTGAACCATAATCGAACCAGATCTGAACCAAAAGACAAGGGAGGAATTATACATGATCCAGAGAAGCAGTATCTCCCAAAGTTGGTGTTTACGCCCAAAGAGGACACCAAGATTCGCTCCTGCTGAAGATAACACAGCAATATGTGGAACGGAACCAGCAAAGTGCGTCCCACACGCTGAATCCTTCAAAAAAATCCTCTAGAAACACTGAGCACCGAACCTTTTCAGTTCTTTGATATCAAGAACTGATTTCTTGATTTCTTTTCTTCAAAGATCGAATCTTTTTAGAGAATGGCGCCAGTTGGAGGAGAATTCCTGAGATGAAGATGGCGAAGAGTGCTTCTCTTCTCTCTGGAGTGTGTATGAGATCCTATCTCAATTCGCAGGATGATTTCTTGCTCAAAAACCCTATGATCGAATTCAGTTGTTTCTCTCTTAGGGTTTCTCCTCTTTTTCTTCTTGATTAAGAAATCTCCTAATTAGGAGTTATCCCAATCCAAATCAACATCTAGATAGGGGATGATCTTAATCCTATCTGCAGATTAGGTTAGATAACTTTTGATCTTATCAGGAGATTACCATATTCAAAACTGATTTGAATTTGGTCTCCTAGAGTGGATTAGGTTAAAGGCCCAATCCTTTTGCTAACCTTAATCTCAGATCCGCCCCTTTAAGTGGGTGATCATATCAGCCCAGTTCGAAATGGGCTTTTGGTCCATTAAATAATCAGTGCTTAATTAGTTTCCAAT